GTCAACGTTTATTTATTTTTGGGACAGAGAGAGACAGAGCATGAACGGGGGAGGGGCAGAGAGAGAGGGAGACACAGAATCGGAAACAGGCTCCAGGCTCTGAGCCATCAGCCCAGAGCCCGACGCGGGGCTCGAACTCACGGACTGCGAGATCGTGACCTGGCTGAAGTCGGACGCTTAACCGACTGCGCCACCCAGGCGCCCCGACTTTAAAGTTTTTTAAAAAAATGTTTATTTAGTTAGTTTTTTGAGAGAGAGAGAGGGAGAGAGAGATGGACACACATGGAATGTGAGCAGGGGAGAAGCAGAGAGAGTAGGATACACAGAATCTGAAGCAGGCTCTAGGCTCTGAGCTGTCCACACAGAGACCACTGTGGGGCTTGAAGCTACAAACTGCAAGATCATGACCTGAGCCAAAGTCAGGTGCTTAACCGACTGAGCCACCCAGGCACCTCTATGAACTTGACTTTAAAGAGACCAAGCCATTTGTTGTGTAGAACGTTCCATGTTCAGGATTTCCCTGGTGCTGTTTAACTTGTTTATTTCTTATACTTTTGGTAGGCTAAACCTTTCTGGCGATACTACTTCATAAGTGAAGCTTATCTTAATTAATGACATTGTCAGCATTTTAGTTTCCTATCCCCTTGGTGCTCTGTCTCTTCTTTTCCACTTTAATCATTTCTTTGTCTTCCCTTCCCATCTCCTTTTCATGTACTTTTCCTCTTTACCTTTTGCTTTGCCTTTCATACTTCGTTTAGATATAGTTCATTTTTCTTCCTCTGTCTTTGTTTCCTGAAATCGAAGGCAGAGATAGAGATAAACATAGACATAGACATAGAGAAAGGGTGAGTGAGTTGGGGGCACAGAGAATGTGAGAATTGTCAAGGTGAGAAATGGGGATATGGGATTCAGTGGCCACTTTGTTCTTTAGCCCATATATGTATTTGTGCCCATCCCTCTATTTTTAATTTTGATTTGAAATATTCTATTTTTTGAATACACCTTTTGATGAGGGTGAATATGTGGTTTAAGTATATTTATATCACTTACAAGTATGTATTACCTTTTTTATCTATAAGGCCAAGACATTTTAACAGAAAGTTTTTAATTTCACTGAGTGCCAAGTGGGGATGGAGGGAAGGAAGAGAAGGTGAGCAGGTCCAGACCTTTTTCCTTCTTTGATAGGGTTTGACCAGCCTGAATGTCAATGGCATGTGGGATCGCACTGCCCCCTGTGTTTCATGTAGTTTGCCTCCTTTCTTCTCAGAGACCATGTGAAAGCAATGGAGGAAAGAAAATTACTTCAGAGTTTTTTGGCTCAGTCACAGAAAGGACTGCCACCCAGGAGAATGAAAGACAGTTATATTGAGGTTCTCTTGCCTTTGGGTAGTCAGCCTGAATTACGAGAGAAATACTTGACTGTTCAAAACACCATCAGGTAAAACGGCACTCTCTTTTATTTATGTCATTTATTTGTTTTTATTTCTTTTGTTACTAAAACTTTGAGATGTAATTTACACACCATACTGTCCACCTATGTAAAGTGTGCAGTTGTGTGGTTTTAGTATATTTGCAGAGTCGTGTGGCCATCGCCGCAATTTTAGAACCTTTCATCCACCCAAACTGTGTTATTCATTTTTTAAGGGGTGATCATCATGATTTTCATTTAATCACAGTTTTCTTTGTTTCACAGATTTGGCAGGATTCTTGAGGATCTTGACAGCCTAGGAGGTACTGGTATTATTTTAGTATTTCTAAATAGATAGTTATAGCTATATATTGAATCATTTGGCTGGAAAGGGCCTTTTTAATTCTTTAACTTGCCCAGATGAGGACATTCTAAAAGAGCAGTAAAAGAAGGGCAACTATTGCCTCTGAATTGTCATAATTTTTTTCCTGAAAATGTAGATTCCTGATGAACAGTTATAATCCGAGTAGTCCTTCTTTCTAATAACTTTTCAAAAAGTCTTAAGTTTTTGGAAAAGTTGTTTGTACAGTACAAAGAATTCTTTTTCTTTGAATCATGTGAGAGAACAGTATTTCCTACAAACCAGGACATTCTCCTACCTAACCACAATACAACTGTCAACATTGGGAAGTTAACCCTGATACATTAGACTGTTTGATTCTTGGACGCAACTCAGCCTTCATCAGTGGTCCTTTGTAGCAGAAGGGATCCATTTCTTTTCTTTTTTTTAAATGTTTATTTATTTTTGAGAGAGAGACAAACACAAAGAGTGTGAGCAGGGGAGGGGCAGAGAGAGAGGGAGACACAGAATCTGAAGCAGGCTCCAGGCTCTGAGCTGTCAGCACAGAGCCCAACACGGGGCTCGAACCCACGAGCTGTGAGATCATGACCTGGGCTGAAGTCGGACACCCAACTGACTGAGCCACCCAGGCGCCCCAGAAGGGATCCATTTCTTAATCACATGTTGCATTTAATTGTTGTGTCAGGAATAGCTCCTCAGTATTTCTCTGACTTTCATGACCTTAATACTTTTGAAGGTTATAGGCCAGTTCTTTTGTACAATTTCTTTCAATTTGGATTTATTTTATGCTTCCCCAAGATGGGATTTGAGACGTGCACCTTTGGCAGGAACATCACAGAAGGGATGATGTGTTCTTATTGCATCTCATCAACTGGTGCATAATTCTCATTTGTCCCATTACTGGGATGTTAACTTTGGTTCTCTGATGAAGGCAGTGTATGTCGGGGTTCTTCACTGTAAAGTTACTTTTTGCGCCTTTGTAATTAATAAGTACCTGGTTGGCAGGTAATTTCAGATCTTATAAACATTCCATTCCTTCTCAGACTTCCAATGTATTATTTTAAAATCAGTATGGACTCAAGGATTCCTATTTTATTGAATGGATTGTAATATGTCGCTGTCATCTCTTGTGGTGCTCAAATTGTGCCGGGACTGTCCTAGTCCCTTCAAGCTGACTTCTGTGTTTTTTTAAATGTGTCCCCATCATTCTTTGAGCACTTCTTTACTTTCTGGCACAATAAGACCTCCTAGGCTCATTTGTACTTTCCCTGCCTCAGTCCTGGAATCAGCTAAATCTCCAAGGAGCTCTGGTTCTTTTTGATGGGGAATGGTAATTAGAAACCAAGATAGGGGTACTGGGAGTGGTCACTGCTGCTGAGGTGTCACTGCTCCCATGTTCTTTCAGTGGACAAGCTGGAGAATATTTGCACATGCACATAAATTTATATTTATGTTTGTCTATTTATCTATCTCTGAAGACCATGGGCTCACACTGGCAGTTGCAATTCTGGATCAGCACCACAGTTTCATTCATTTCCCCCTTTTCATATTTGTAATTCCTCTTTCCAGCTGGCTCCATTATTCTAAATCTATTTACTTATTTGGTAATGTCCCCCTGTATGTAGCTCATTTCTTATCTCTGCCACCCCTAGCCTCTCATGGATGCTCCCCTCACCTCACTGGGATTCATACCAGGTCCTGTTCTGCTGGGTCACCCTCCTTATTGTGCTCAAGCTGCAACATGCTGGGCCATCGCTTTTGTTGCCTTCTCTCTTTATGTCCTCCGGCCCTGTTTGGGCTTTAGCACCTTACTCTGGGCTACCTTGCTTGCTCTCACTAATGACTTTTGGACTGAACTGTTGGGAATGGGTTTAAAGAAAGGGTCTAATGACTTCTACAATATAGAAATGAGTCCATTGTTAGGCTTATACCTAGCTGCATGTTTCTTCAGATTAAATAAATTCAGTTAAACATTCTTATTGGTGTTTTAACAAAAACTACACACACACACACACACGCGCATGCGCACACACACACACACACACACACACACTCTTGACTTTGGTTTACTTAGGTGTCCTTAAATACACAAACTCCCTTGGCATTAACCTGTTTTTTCCTCCTTGCCTCCTGTTGATGGCCATTCTTTTCACCTCTCCACTTGATTCTGTTCCTTCAAGTTCTTTAAAGAACTTGCCTTATCACCTAATCTTTCTCTCTCATATCGCAAGCTGTTTCTCAGCTTCACATTCCCTCACCTTCTAAACATATTCAAGGCTCTTCCATCTTATAATGGAAAGTAGGTAAAATCTCCTTCCCTTAGAACACTGTCAAACTATCTTTCTCTTTCACTTCAGAGCTAACTTTATGGAAAGAGTTGGAAAAAGTCATTTGCTCTTACTGCCTCTGTATCTTGACTTCCTGTTTATTTCTCATTCTCACACTTGCTGGCTTCTGTTCCTCAGAGCCATTGAACTGCTCTTGCCAAGCTCTCCATTTTCCCCCTTATTTTGTGATCTAATGGGTGCTTTTCAAGGTTTACCTGACCCTATTGTGGTTCCTGATAAATATTGTTGAGCTCATCCTTGGGCTTTGTGACACTTCTACCTCTCTGGCTGTTCCTTTCCTATCTCCCTTGTAGGTTCCTCTTTTCCTAGTGATCTTTTGAATGTTGGTTATCCCCAGGGTTTTGTCTTCTCCCCCCCTTTTTTTTTGCTTATCTGTACACTCCCAGAGCTTCACTTGTTATCAGTATGTGGAATACTTAGGAACCTACATTTCCTGCCCTGCTTTTCTGAGTTCCAGATCACTTTGCCCTCTCGCCTACTGGACATCTCCATTTGGATATGCCCTAGGCTTCTCATATTTAACATGTTGAAAATAGTCCATTTTATTCTTCCTCTATTCTCTTTTTCAGTGAATGGTGTACCATCTTCAGTCAGGCAAGCTAGAGACCTGAGATTATTAACATATTGAAGAGATTATTAAAATATTCTCTTCTTTTCCATCTATACTGACATAGGCCAGCCACATATGATTTATTCTTTGGGTACCACAGAGGCTTTAAGTGGACTTTCTTGCCTTTAGCCTCTTGTTCCCCCAGTGCATCTGTTAGGAGGTGCATGGATGGAAGGATTTTTTTGTCACTTAACAAATATTTATTGGGTGCAGACCCATGTCCTGAGGGCTGAAGATACAAATTTGAATGAATCATGGGGGAAGCAGGGAGGCCACTAAACATGGGAGTATAATACAACTTTAAATGCACAGAAGCATGCTTAGCTTATTAAAATATGGCAAGTATACAGATAGTCTCAAGGTGGTGTAGGAGTCAAAGGTGTTAGGAGGAAGGAGGAATAACTAAGTGAAATGGTTGCTTCATGATAAGGAGTCAGAGGGAAAATAGATAGTTGAGTCCTTGTGATTTGTTTCTCTTTTATGAAGATGTTTGATGCTGTTGGACTCATGTGCTGGGTTCTTTTTCTAATTGAGGCAGTGTGTCTCTGTGGAGTGGTGATGGGCCACCTGCTGGGCTTGGGCTTTAGACTTCAGCTTCTTGACCAAATCTAAAATTGAGTGGGTAGTCAGATTAGAAGATCCCCAAATCTCTTCAGTGTGTAGAAGTCTTTGGACCTAGGATAAGGCTGCTAGTGGGATATGGGGGGGTTGGGTCTTCAAAACAAGATAAGACTTTTTATGGATTCAGGGATTCAGTTGTAAATGTTGAGCAATAATCTTGCTTTTCCTTTCTTTGGTTCTCTTCTTTTTTCTTACAGTTCTCATTTGCTACATGCACACCAAGATTCATTCAGCTAAGGCATCTCCTCTGTCTATAGTTACAGCCCTGGTGGACAAGATTGGTAAGCAATATTATTTTCTGTGGATACTTAGAATTCTTAGTAATCATAAGAGATTTATTTTTATTTTTATTTTTTTTTCAACGTTTATTTATTTTTGGGACAGAGAGAGACAGAGCATGAACGGGGGAGGGGCAGAGAGAGAGGGAGACACAGAATCGGAAACAGGCTCCAGGCTCTGAGCCATCAGCCCAGAGCCTGACGCGGGGCTCGAACTCCCGGACCGCGAGATCGTGACCTGGCTGAAGTTGGACGCTTAACCGACTGTGCCACCCAGGCGCCCTGAGATTATTGAAATTAGAGGAAATATTTTCGTTTTAAGGAAAAATTTTTATGTATATATGCGTATGAAAATGTCTCATGGTATATACTAAAATACATATTTATTAAAATGACCTTTGAGTGGAAGGGTTTTGCATAATTGCAGTTTTATTTTTTTTAGTTTTAAAAATGTTTATTTATTTATTTTCACGATGTTTATTTATTTTTGAGAGGGAGAGTGCAAGTGGGGAAAGGGCAGAGAGAGGGGGAGACAGAGGATCCAAAGCAGACCCTGTGCCATCAGTAGAGAGCCCAGTGTGGGACCTGAACCCACCAACTGCAAGACCATGAACTGAGCTGAAGTCAGATGTTAACCGAGTGAGCTACTCAGGTGCCCCTGCAGTTTTAGTTTTTATATTCTTTGCATTGTCTACATTTTTCAAAAAGTTATACAGTTCTCTTTTGTATGTCAAAGACGTTCTTTTTAATTTTGAAGACTAAAAAAAAAGAAAAAAGGAAAAGTGGTGGAATTTGCCAGAATATAAAATGAAATTTTCCTTTTGTAATACGGAAAATTTGGGGTGTGGTTTGAACTCAGATTGACTTTCTGTTTCGCAGATATGTGTAAGATGAGCTTAAGTCCAGAACAGGACATCAAGTTCAGTGGCCATGTCAGCTGGGTTGGGAAGACATCCATGGAAGTGAAGATGCAAATGTTTCAGGTATGTATTCGTCTAAAGGTTGCTGGCTTGTTCCAATACAACCAGCTAGTCCCAGTGAAAGAAAAGCATATTTACCTATGCTTTTTACCTATGCTATACCTATGACAGGTATATAGCTCACCAGTTCTAGAAAAAGAATTGAAAATTCATGTCATGCAGATGGTGGGTTATTAATGTGTTCTTCCTGGACAAAGACTGACACTTTGTTTGGTGTCTCGGTTCATTGTTTATTACTTTCAAATCATATATGGCTACATGTCAAGGTGCTTATTTCTGGTTTTGCCCCAGAGAATTTCACAAAAGTCTGAGTTACATCAGGCATGAATGGTACTTACTGGTTACTGTGTTAGTTTCCTCGAGCTGCTAGAACAAAGTACCACCAATTGGGTGGCTAAAAATAACAAATTAATTATCTCACAGTTTGGCAGCCAGAAGTCCAGAATCAAGGCTTCAGCATGACCATGCTCCCTCTACAGTTTGTAGGGGGAGAATCTCTTTTGCTTCTTCCTATCTTCTCATGGTTTGGTGGCAGTCCTTGGTATTCCTTGGCTTGCAGCTTGAACGCTTTGATCTTGGCTTCCATTGCCACGTGCTCTTTCGCCCTTGGGTGTCTGTGTCTTTGCGTCTCTCCTCTTCTTCTTATTTTTTATTAAATAATCTCTGTGCCCAGCATGGGACTGAGACTCATGACCCCAAGATCGAGAGTTGCATGCCCTATCGACTGAGCCAGCCAGGTGCCACTCTTCTCTTCTTATAAGGACATCAGTAATACGGGATTAAGGGCCCACCCTACTGCAGTATGACCTCATCTTAACTGATTATATCTGAAATAGCCCTATTTCTAAGTAAAGGTATGTTCGGAGGTACCAAGGGGTAGGACTTCATATATTTTTGGAGGACACAAGTCAACCCATAACAGTCACTTAGACTAAAGGTAGCAGTTAGGAACAGCCCCACTAAGGAGCAGAACTCTGAGTAGCTGTTATAAAGAAATGAAGAAATTTGACAAGAAACAAGTACCTCAAAGAGGATAATAGCACAGAAATCAGATAATTCAGAGTATGTCCCACGTTTCATTGTGAAAATTTATTTAAGAATGACTCATTCTGGGTGCACCTGGGTGGCTCAGGTAAGCTGCCAGCTTTGGTTCAGATCATGATCTTGCGGTTGAGTTTGAGCTCTGCCTTGGGCTCCGTGCTGACAGTGCAGAGCCTGCGTGGAATTCTCTCTCTCTCTCTCTCTCTCTCTCTCTCTCTCTCAAAAAAAAAAAAAATGACTCGTTCTGGTGAGCACAGCATAACGTATAAACTTGTTGAATCACTGTGTTGTACACCTGAAACTAATGTGACATTGCCAACTATGCTCAAATAAAAAAAATAAGGAAAAAAAAGAATGACTTCTTCAGTTATGCCAGAGTATTTAGTAGGCTCATTATTCAGATAGACTTTTTCTCTTCTGGAATTATGAAGTACTTCACCTTTTGGAAAAAGTCTAAAGCTTGTTCTGCAGTAACTAAAGTTTTTGTCAAAATAGTTAAGTCGTTTTTTATTTGGGGCTCTCTGTAAGCAGTTGGATTCTTTAAATTCCATGTTGTCATTGGGGCGCCTGGGTGGCGCAGTCGGTTAAGCGTCCGACTTCAGCTCAGGTCACGATCTTGTGGTCCGTGAGTTCAAGCCCCGCGTCGGGCTCTGGGCTGATGGCTCAGAGCCTGGAGCCTGTTTCTGATTCTGTGTCTCCCTCTCTCTCTGCCCCTCCCCCGTTCATGCTCTGTCTCTCTCTGTCTCAAAAATAAATAAACGTTAAAAAAAAATTAAAAAAAAATAAATTCCATGTTGTCATAGCTGACAGTAATACTGTTGTTAGAACAAAACACAGTAAGCATGATGGGGATGCTGCTATGATTAGTCCACACTGTTTTTTTTTTTTTAAGTTTATTTGTTTTGAGGGGCGGAGAGGGGCAGAGAGGAGGAGGAGGAAGAGGAGGAGGAAGAGGAGGAGGGAGAGGAGGCGGAGGGAGATGGAGGGAGGGAGAGAGAGAATGAGAATGAATATCTCAAGCAGGCTCCATGCCCAGTAAGGAGCACAACTCGGGGCTTGATGCAACCACCCTGGGATCATGACCTGAGCCGAAGTCAAGAGTCGGACATTTAACTGACTGGGTTGCCCAGGCGGCCCCTGTCTGCATTTTTTAATCTTCATGGTTGATTCCTAGACTGCTCAGATTCCTGCCATAGGAATCAAGGTAATTTGAATCTGGGCCAAATAGGTTGAAAAGAGTTACAGGAGTTATTGTGGGGAGAGGGCCAATGAAAATCACTGTCAGACAAGTACAAACTTCTGTTTTAAGTTTGTATTTCTCATTGACCATTTTGACTAGTAACTTAAGACTTGAGTGATCCTTTCTATTCCAGATAGGAAGCTTGGCGGTAGGTGCTTTGCCTCTGGTTTAGGTACATGTAGGTTCAAATCCCAACTCTGCTGCTTATCAGCCATGTGAATGTGGGTAAATTACTTACCTTCTCTGAGTTTGCATTTTCTCAAGTGTAACGTGGAAACAGTAATAGTACCACTTTTTTTGTGTGGTAAGCATGAAATGAAAAAACAACCTAACCATAGGAATTAGTTGGTACATTGCCTGTCACACAGTAACCACTAATCAAATGTTGACAGTAATGTTCATTTATTATCATTACTATGGAGGTGGTCTCAAATATTTTCTGGGCTTGACCTTCAGACTCATCTTTCTGCACGCCTGTTTTATCTCTCCTCCTACATGTGCTCTTGCTACCTTAAATCAGGTGTGTGACAAACTGAGTACCTCAGCTTCCTTCCCAATCCTGATCCTCCTCCATTTCCCCCTTTGCTGCCCTGGGTCCAAACCTTTGTCATATCTTTAAATTCGTCCTTTCCTATACAGCCTTTTGCCAAGTCTTGCAAATTCATCACCCATAGCAACCCACCAGAGAGTTCTTTCTTCCCTTTCCTCTCGGCCTCTGTGTTTCATTCAAGGCCTCACTGCCTCCTTTGTGAGTACCTTAACTGTCTTTTAATAGTCTACCTGCCTCTAGTCTTTGCTCTCTCTGTTAATTGTACAGATTTTTATGAGTTAGATCTTATAAAGGCAATCTTAAGTCACATTGCTTTCCTTCTCCAAACCCTTCAGTGACCATTATCTGTGGATTAAAGTCTGAACTCTTTTGTCTAGTTAGGATCTAAGGTGCTCCACAAACTAGCTCCCACCTGCCTTTACAACTGTAGTCCCTCTGACTTATCATTCCTATACCTTCTTAGAGCTTGCTGCTGGACATTTTGAGCATTCAAAGAATAGGGAGTTCCTCATTTTTGCATTCTTTTTTTAATGTTTGTTTATTTTTGAGAGACAGAGAGAGAGAGAGTGAGCGAGGGGGAGGGACAGAAAGAGAGGGAGGCCAGAATCTGAAGCAGGCTCCAGGCTCTGAGCTGTCAGATGTGGGGCTCAAAAGTACAAACTGAGAGATCATGACCTGCCCTGAAGTTGGACGCTTAACCGACTGAGCCACCCAGGGGCCCCTCAATTTTGCATTCTTGATGCTTGGCACTAGTAGGTGTTCATTATAATAAACCATAATGTAAACAGTGAGTGAGTAGGGTGAGTATCATTGCTTATTCTTTTTTCTTGCCTGAAATCCTCATGTTCTGGCTCCACACATTCGTATTCTCCCTCTGCTTCCAGGCCACCTTATGCTCAATCCTTCCCTGATCCTTCTAGCTCATAGCGCCTGTTCCTTCCCCATGACTTCTGATTCTTTCTCCTGGTACCTGCTCTTCTCCTCCGCAGAGCAGCATATGAACACATCTTTTCTCTTCGACTACACTGTAGGCTCCTTGACATAAGCAGCATCTGGGTGTGAGTCACCTAGCCCACTTCCTCGTGTCCATTCATTTAACATTCACTTAGCAGTTTATCGAATGCGTGTTCTGTGCTCAGTGTATAGCAGTGAGCTAAACAACGTTTCATTCTTTTTTTTTTTAATTTTTTTTTAACGTTTATTTATTTTTGAGACAGAGAGAGACAGAGCATGAACAGGGGAGGGGCAGAGAGAGAGGGAGACACAGAATCTGAAACAGGCTCCAGGCTCTGAGCTGTCAGCACAGAGCCTGACGCGGGGCTTGAACTCACGGACTGTGAGATCATGACCTGAGCTGAAGTCAGACGCTTAAGCGACCAAGCCACCCAGGCGCTCCAACGTTTCATTCTCTTACAGTTTACATTCTAGTAGTGCTTGATAATTTTCTGCCTCAACTCATATACATCATCAATCATTGATTATCTTCTATCTGCCAGTCTTTGTGCTAAGTGCTAGGCATACAAATGTGAGTGAAAATGGTCTTTGTCCTCAAGGAAAGCGTGCTGCAATCGGTGATTATGATATACAGATGGTCCCTGACTTAGGGTGGTTTGACTTCCTATTTTTTGGCTTTATGATGGTGTGAAAGAGTGTTCAGTAGAAAGTGTACTTTAAAGTTTGAATTTTGATCTTTTTCTGGGCTGGTGATATGTGGTGCTGGGCAGTGGCAGTGAGTTGCAGTTCCTGGTCAGCCACGCCATCAGGAGGGTAGAGGACTGACACACTTGCAACCTGCCTGTCCCCATATGGCTTTTCTGTTTTATACTCTCTGAACGGTATTAAATAAGTTCCCTGACATATTCAACACATTGTTATTAACGAGGCTTTATGTTAGATGCTTTTGCCCAATTGCAGGCTAATATAAGTGTTCTGAGCGTGTTTAAGGTAGGCTAGGTAAGCTGTGATGTTCTGTAGTTTATGTGTATTAAATGCATTCTTGACTTAAGATATTTTCAATTTATGATGGATTTGTGGGGATGTGACCTCGCTGTAAGTCGAGGAGGATCTGTAGTATATTAAGTATCATGCAGCTTTTCTCAACAGAGGCGCTACTGGCATTGGATGTAGGAAAAATTCTTAGTTATGCAGGACAGTCCCCCGCACTGTGAGGTGTTTAACAACTTGGTTACCCCTGCCCGGCTAGTGATGTCCCTCAAGCCGTGTGACAACCAAAACCAGTTCTGCACATTTCCAAGTGTTCCCCGTGGGAGTAGTATCCATCTCTGTTACATTGAGTACCACTTTCAGGGAGGACTTTGTTTCCACTCTGGTGGCAAACCAAGGAAAGGATGATGACCTCTGCCTGGGGAGGGGGCAGGGGTGGGGAGAAGTGTCTTGAGGAAGGTGGCTGTGAGGAAGGCCCAGGCTCAGGCATGGATGGGAGGAGTTCAACAGCACGGTACATTCCAGACCTCCAAGTTGTCAGGTGTGCTTAGGGAAAGGTTGCAGGTGTGAAGGGCGTGTTTGGTGAGCAGAGAGGAATCTGGACTCTGTCGTGGAGAGCTTTATATATATTGCCAGCAAGCTTAGAGCAGATGTGGGAACAAGGTTGAGGGGGAAGGTGATGTGGGCCTGAACAGACAGCAGCGAGGAGGACTAGTGAGGAGGTTTGTTGAAGAGTGAGCCTAGTATGCCCTCAGCTTATGATAGGACTTTATGATATAACTTCCCTGGAAGTACTGATTCCTAGAGGATGAAGAAATACCTCAAAGCCTCAAAGGCTTGTACATTGTAACTATTTCACTCATTATGTGGAATGACCAGTGATCCTTACCCCTTCTTGGGAGCCCCCTACGCTCAGCTAAGGGAGCACAAACGTGTGCTGGTAGCTGTCATACTGAAGTTACCTGAATATTCTAATGTCCATGAGAGCGGTGGGCACTTCACCTGGCTTTGTGTGCCATTGTGAGGACAGGTAGGCCTCAAGAAAGCCAGAACTTTGCATAATGCAGGACAGTTAAGTGACAGTGATGCAGAGGGTCCCTCTGTGACCCTTGCCCTTGAGTCTCAGTCACGCACACTTCCAAAGCCCGTAGGTCATGTCCATCCCAGCTCTTCTCGCATGGTGTACTGTTTGAATTTTGGGGTGTCTTTCTCCTTTTCCAAGACCACAGCCTTCTTGGTCTTGCTCCATTCCCACCCAGAGCTTAGTTCTGTGTCTGGCAACTCAGCAGATGGTGGTTAATGATGCACTTTTCTTTTCTTTTTTTAAAATTTTTTAATGTTTATTTATTTTTGAGACAGAGGGAGACAGAACATGAGTTGGGGAGGGGCATAGAGAGAGGGAGACACAGAATCTGACACAGGCTCCGGGCGCTGAGCTGTCAGCACAGAGCCCAATGCGGGGCTCGAACCCACAAACCGTGAGATCATGACCCGAGCCGAAGTCGGACGCTTAACCTGCTGAGCCACCCAGGTGCCCCAGCACTTTTCTTTTTCTAATTGCAGCCCTTTCCAAAGCATGCGTGACATCTGTTAGAATTGTCATAGGTCTTCTTGTTAAATGTATTTCTTATGTCTGTATTTTCTTTCCACTGTTCTTTAGTTACACGGCAATGAATTTTGTCCTGTTTTGGATGCAACCTTTGTAATGGTGGCTCGTGATTCTGAAAATCAAGGGTAATTGCTGTTTTTTCCTAATTCTTTATTTTGGAAGACTTCAAAGAAACACAAAACTGGAGAGAAGACTATAATGAAATTTCCATATACTCATCACCTAGACTTAGAAGTTTTAACACTTTTGCCGTATTTGCTTCATCTCTTTATTAAAAGTGTATTATTTTCTTTATTATATTTAATTTTTTTAAATGTTTATTTTTTTTTTTTGAGAGAGAGAGAGAGCGAGAGACAGAGTGAGCAGGGGAGGGGCAGAGAGAGAGGGAGACACAGAATGTGAAGCAGGCTCCAGGCTCCGAACTGTCAGCACAGAGCCCGATGCGGGGCTTAAACTCACAGACCGTGAGATCATGACCTGAGCCAAAGTCGGACACTTAACTGACTGAGCCCCCCCCCCCCGGCGCCCCAATGAATTCATGGATTTTAAATTTTTTTTTTTTTTTTTAACGTTTATTTATTTTTGGGACAGAGAGAGACAGAGCATGAACAGGGGAGGGGCAGAGAGAGAGAGGGAGACACAGAATCGGAAACAGGCTCCAGGCTCTGAGCCATCAGCCCAGAGCCCGACGCGGGGCTCGAACTCACGGACCGCGAGATCGTGACCTGGCTGAAGTCGGACGCCTAACCGACTGCGCCACCCAGGCGCCCCTCATGGATTTTAATAGTAAATGTATTTCAGTAAATTGCAGCCATTGTTCTTGATGCTCAGAGCATACTGTGTTTGGGCAGTGGGAGCTCCTTTAAGCTGGCTCCTGGAGTAAACTTGTTTCACATTTCCCCACCAGTCTTCCTGTTCTCTGGTACGGTGGGATATCTTGGGCTCACTTTACACATTTTCTTCCTCAGGCCCAGAATCAGCCATTTCTCTGAGGAGTCTTGGGGTTCCTCTTAGTGAGTACTGGTATTTAGAGACCAGAATCTGGGCACTAGAACTATATTTTCTACTCATTTGTCATTATTTCTAAGCCTTTTCAGTGGACAGAGTTAGGATGTATATTAAAAAGCAACAGATATCGGACCTTGTGAGTTAATGTACCATCAATTCCAAGTCAGATTGAACTTTACAGATTTTAACGTATTTGGCTTCATACTTTTTTCCCCTTAAGTTGAATCCTTGGTTCCTAACAGCAGTCACCCGGAAAGCACTCGAATGGGGGGGAAAAACTGTTGAACTGTGGGGGGTGGGTGCTGGGCTGGGAGGAAATAGTACAGGATTGCTATTGGTATAGGACAGAGTCTGGGGGCCTGTGGGAATCTAATTTGTATTAGAAACTTGAGGTAGGGGTCCTCATTGAGAAATCTTTGCTGCCTCATGAAAAACTGCCTTGGAAGAGTGAGTTAAGGTCAAACAGATGTGAGTGTAGAATGCTACTCTTCACTTTCCCACTGGGCTGGGCAGGCCTGCGGGTCCTAGGGGCTGGCCCTGGGTGGGGGACTCCTTTCCGGCCCTGTGGCATTATTTAAAATTTCTCTCCCATTGTTTCCATTGTTGTTTCATCAAATCTTTGGATTCTACCACAGTGAAAGCACCCCCCCACTTTATCTGTTTTCTCTTTTGAGAAATTTGCCACCTTCAGAAAAGTAGAATGATGCAGTGAGCACCCAGAGAGCCCTCACCTTCAATTCACCAGTTGATATTTTGTCTTACCCTCTCTCTATAAATACACACATGTACACACTCTTTCTTTCCCTGAATCATTTGAAAGTAAGTTTGAGACTACTTCACCCCTGGATAGTCCAGCATCTATCTCCTAATAATAAGGTTATTGTGTTACACAGCCTCGATGCCTTTATTATATCCAAGAAATTTAAGTGAGACAGTTATATTATCTAATATACAATCCATATTCAAACTTTGCCATTTGTCCCTAAAATGTCTTTTATAGCTCTTTCCCCTGGGTCAGGATCTGATCGAAGATCATGTATGGCATGTAGTTATTATGTTGTTTTTTTTTTAAAGCGTCCCCCTGCCATTTTCTATCTCTGAAGACATTGACATTTTTGGAAGGGTCCAGGCCAGTTGTCCTGTAGAATATTCTACAGCGTATTTTTGACTGTTTCCCCATTATGACAATCAGGGGAAACTTTTTGGTGAGAGGCAGTGTTCTTTTTATAATGGGAACTTTCTAGTATACAGCTTACTCTGTAACTAGAGGGCTCCTTACTTGTTCCTGGGTTATTATATGAAACAGTGAATAAGCATTACCTAAAACAAACAGCAGAGACTTGGAAACCAGTGGGTAAATTGTTCACCTTCCACCTTTCCTGGGGAAAACTGTATTTATAAGCCTCTTAAACTGTATTCTTTTCTTTTCTTCTCTTTAGGCCGGCATTTGTAAATCCACTCATCCTTGAAAGCCCAGAGGAAGAAGAACTCTTTAGACAAGGAGAATGTATATTAATTTGTTTATAATAAGATACAGTTCTGCAAAGCACACTAGCTGTACTGCAGAAGAGGTTATTTAAGAGCATGTATGGACTGTTCATACCAGTCAAGTAGTCTTACTCATGCTGAGAATTTATTGAAATTAAAAATACCTTATTTTTGGTTCCAGAATCCATAGTTTAACACTTTTCCTGATTAGACAATATTTGTTAAGTGCAAAAATTTGTTTTCTCATTTTTAGTAAAATGGGAAATGTATCTTAGTGAAATAACTGCTGGTCAGGGCTCTGGTTCAGGATGGTCTTTTTAAAAACTTTTTAAAGTGTTTATTTTATTTTAGAGAGAGAGAGGCAGAGAGAGAGGGAGACAGAGGATCTGAAGTGGGCTCCACACTGACAGCGCAGAGCCCAATGGGGGACTCAAACTCAAGGACCGTGAGATCATGACCTGAGCTGAAGTTGGACGTTTAACCAGCCGAGCCACCCAGGCGCCCTGGATGGTCTAAGTGTGGTCTTTAAGTGGTCTCACACTGAGCCAGTGTAATTTCCGTGTGAAAGCAGGGAGTCACTGGACACTTTATGTAGCCTCAGCAGCCTTCTTTGGGATATATGTACAATTTCCGGTGGGCTTTTTGAAGTCAGGAGATACTACCTTTGTAGGGTCTGAGGCAGACAAGGTCAGGAACCGCAGTGCTGCAGTGGGACCCTCCTGATCGTAGCTCCTTGTCGTCCTGTGTTCCAGTGAACAAGGGGAGAAGGGTTGCCTTCAGCTCCACGTCATTACTGAAAATGGCTCCCAGTGCCGAGGAGAGGACAACCATACATGAGATGTTTCTTAGCACGCTCGATCCAAAGTAAGTTAGGATGGTGAGATTCCAGGTTGGGAAAGCATTTAAACCTTGGCCTTCTCCAGAGCCACTTGGGCCTCAACATCTTGGGAGTTGTTTGCATATATTTTACCTTTCATCAGTAAAATCATGGCATTAAGAGGGTTTCCTGAATCTCCTTTTGTACAGGACTATAAGTTTTCGAAGTCGAGTTTTACCCCCTCATGCGGTGTGGATGGAGGATTCAAAACTGAAGAGCTTGGAAATTTGCCACCCTCAGGTATTGTAAGCCAATGAAAAATCTTCTAAAGAGGATAACTTGCTTTGGTGATTCTCATCTAAAATTTGATCCGCCTTCAAACTGACCTCTGTTCTGTGGCATTGTTAATTCCTTTGTTCTGTATATGAGGGTGGTCATGAGCTTGTATTTGTTAATAATTATTTTATGCCCTATAGGAGCGGAACATTTTCAATCGGATCTTTGGCGGTTTCCTTATGAGGAAAGCGTATGAACTTGGATGGGCTACTGCTTGTAACTTTGGGTGAGTTTGGCAGTGTGGCGCCAGTAAAAGTATTCAACTTCTGAGAGACAGTTTGCAGTACCCCGTTGAAATGAACCATTTTAGGCCAGTCTGGATGTGTTGGGGTATGTGCTTTGTTTTTCAATCAATTTCACACTGATACCACCTCCACTTGGTCTTCATTTTCAAAGGCTGTTGCTCTGACTTTGTCAGTTAGTGCATTAAAGACCTACTGAGAAAAGGTGATGACAGTGCAGAAAGGAAAAGATAGAGTGGTGATCTCGTCACATTGGCATCCCTTACCATTTCTCACCGGTATGATTATTTGCCCCTTCCCTAGGTTTATTCTCTTATCATTCACATTTTGCTTCAGCTGATTGTTAGGGGAGAAATAGACATCATCTGAATTTTGTGGTTGACCCAAATTCTTCCTTTGTCTGTTAGTGGTTCCCGACCGTTTGTAGTAGCAGTGGATGATATCATGTTTCAGAAACCCGTTGAGGTTGGATCACTGCTGTTTCTTTCTTCGCAGGTAGGTGTGCGATGAGGGATGAAATAAATTTTTTTTATCACTTGGGCCCAGAAGAGAAGGTTTTTTTTTTTTTTTAATTCTAAAGCCACTGTTTCTCTTATGACTGGCTTTTCTCCCCTTCCTAATGCACTTGACTAATTATCAGGTCTAAATCTCTTAGGTTTGCTTTACTCGGGACAATTACATTCAAGTCAGAGTGCACAGTGAGGTGGCCTCTCTTGCGAATAAAGAGCATATGACCACCAATGTCTTCCATTTCACGTTCATGTCAGAAAAAGAAGTGCCCTTGGTTTTCCCCAGAACCTACGGAGGTAAGCAGCAATGTCTGTCCTTAGTGAATGGATGAACGTATAAAGAAATTTTTCTTCTTTTAAATTGTTGTAGGAAGCATAGAGACGCCTCTTAGCTCCAAGAACGTATCTCTAGGAGATAGAGCTTTTGAGGGTCTGCAGCCCTGACGGCCAGGATGCCTCATGGCCTGTAGGCTGCCATTGCTGCTCTGCCTGACCTGGCTACCGTCTGAAGGGTCAGTCCAGCTGTAAGTGGCCACTGGTGGTCAGAGACTGGTGCAGCCACCGGAAAGGGGCACGAGTCGAGGCTCACCCCTCAGGATCCTTGCACCCCCAGCCCGACAGGGCCTGCCTAGAGCCATTTTTGCACGCTCCTCGTTGCCCTTGTGTTCCCAAGTAGCCTAGCTGTCCGTACAATGATTTTGTAAGGTGCCATGGGCTTCTCCATGGTTCTCTCTTTTGTGTTTCAGAGTCCATGTTGTATTTAGATGGGCAGCGGCATTTCAACTCCATAAGTGTACCGGCGAACTTGAGAAAGGACTACGTTGTGGAGCCCTAGGAAAACCATGCTTGTTTAAGAGCAGCCCTCCACGGTGGCATAGTGCCCGGTGAAAGCCCGATCAAGTGTTTTGGTTTCAGTCTTTATTCTCATCCTCTGTTGAGAAGAAGAATGTATTCAACCTTTAGGATGATCAGCAAAGCAGAACAAGAGAGTGGCTGGGTGGGGCGGAGGAAGAGGGAGTTATTAAACAATAAACACTCTCAAGACAATTTAAATTAGAAACCTACCATGTCACCTCCTGTGTGGTAAAGAAATGAGGGCAGAATGCCTTTATATGCAGTTGGAAACGTTTCTTTTCTTAAGCTTATCACAAGCTATCCGTATGTGCAGTTTCCTGCCAAGGTATTTGGAGGGCATTCCTTAAGCCTGACGCTGCAGTTCCCCTGTATTGTCTAAATCCCATCAACCCTACATGAGTCCTCTGTGTTTTGCCTGCGTCTCCTTCCCAGCTTTGGTTGTTGGCAGGAGGCAGATGAAAAGTCGGGGTGAAGGGAGCTAACAAAAGGTAAGGCATTTGGAAGGATTTGTGGGAAGCTTTAAGCCTAAAGCCATACCAAGAGGAGGTATTCAGAGATGATCTGTATGAGGACACACAGGACCATGTGTTCATTCTTTTATTCACCAGATAGCTTTTCACACTCTACTCAGAGCTGGCCAGGATATATCTGATTCAAAAACAGGAACAGTGACAATAATGGCTGCTTATGCTTGCTGAACACTTGCCATGTGCTAAGGCACTGTCCTGAGCACTTGATGTGTATTAGCTCATGTATTTCTTCCACCACCACTAGAGGTAGGTTCTCTAACCCTCTCAGGTTAGGTCACTCAAGCACAGACAGGTTAAGTGACCTGCTCATGGTCTCACAGCTAGTAAGTGGTGGTGCTGGCATTCAGAGGCGTGTGGCGCCAGGGCACGCTTGACCAGTACATGGGACTGCTTTCTGTGTCCAGGATCACATTGTCACCTAGGAACCCAAAGGGAGGTATTCTCATGAGTCTAGCCAAGACAAAGTTCCTTTCTTGATGGGATGGGAGGTCGATTGAGTCCGGGAGAGACAAAAACCAGGCTTTTGGGAAGAAAAGAGTCCTCTCTGGCAAGGTGTTTCCCCACACTGTACTTGCACCATCCTGAGCTTCTCTGGGCCCTTCAGTACAGTACAGCATTTTGCAGATTTACCTGTGACTCGGTGGGGACTCTGGGAGTTGTGTGAATGTGTTAAGGGCAGTTCAATGAAGAGACCTACTGTCTGCTGTCGTACAGATTATATGTTATACATTTAAACATTTTTTGCTTATTCACTGAGATTCTTTCTAGAACTTTTCTTGTTATTCTAAGCATGGTTCCAGTAAATATCCTAAATAGCTAAAATATTTAACCTTTAAATGATTTCCTTAGGAAAATTGCAGAAGTGATACTTACGTCAGAATAGTGTGCACACATTGAAGGCTTTGAATATGCATTTCACATAACCTTCTAGAACAGTTGGAGACCTTCATTTACTCATCGATTTCCCTGAGGTTTGCCAAGTTTTATTCTTTTTAAACATCTTTGCCCTTTTGATAGCTGAAAAAGGATATTTGTTAATGGGCTGTCTTTGAATTTTGCCGAGATTGAACTTTAAAAAATTGCTTATTGTGTTTTTAGTTAAATTACTAGTTCAGGTATGGATATCAGAATCTTAACTCAGAACCTGTTCCCTCCCATTAAAGGTTTTTATATGATAAGAACAACAGGTTTTGATTTTTATTAAAACAATTTTTTTAGGGTTTCATTTTTAATACAGGACTTGGAGAAGATGAGATGAAGCGAAATATGAAGGACATACAGTAGGCTCTAGATATTTAGTGTTCTGTCCCTCTTTAAAGATAGTGAGTGTTTGGTCCTAGCACCATTACGTGTTGAGCATGGAATTTCCTAATGTGGGTTGGACATGGTTTTGTACTGAGTTGTCCATCCCGAGACATCCTAATTTTACTTCAGGCATTTATTACCAAGTTCTTTGTTTTTTGCTTAGACATGTCTTCAGTTGGTTTTCGAGGATGGTGTCTTTAACACTGGTTTTTTAGAAGAATTGACACTGATATGCTGTGCACTATGCTGTGCGTGCCCTTGTGATGCCGTGGATCCATTTCTTGTGGAACCTGAATACTCTGCATATTCCCTTTGCTACCCGCGTTCTCTGTGATGATCTGCTTTCTCTCATCTCTTAGAGCCCAGAGCTTGATGGCTGAAGAATGGAAGTCTCCCCTCCCACCCCACACCCGTCACCCCAGGGAATTCAACATTTTAGTTTTCTTTTTGATAAGCTTGTGCAGAGAGAAAGACCCTTTATCTTCCTAAAGGCATATTTGAGTCTGTGGGATGGCCAGGCCCACCCGGGGAGTTCTTGTCCCTGTGGCCTTGGCTGCAGTCACCTAGGCAGCTGTAGGCAGCCGTGTGCAGCCGGGGGCGTGTCTGGCGCCGGAACATCTGGCACCTCAGCTGGGGTGGCTGGAATCGGGTGGGGGTTGGCCAGACCTCTTAACAGGCTGGTTGGATTTTTTAAGTGGTGTCTTGAGGGCTCCAAGAGCAGCCAGCCAGAGTTTTAGATCCTAACTACACCATCCTCCTGCCTCTCAAAGCCATTTTCGTGCCGGGAACAATCAGTGATGTCCTGGAAGTTGACAAAGAAGGTACCTCGGATACTAGTGCTAATGAAATAGTCTTGTATAAACATTTATTAACAAGTAACACTGGGAAACACTACATAGGATACCCCTCCTCTGGTAGTTTTTAAAGCATATTAGGTTACAAAAGACTCTGAAAAGTAGGTCCGTAAGAACACCTGTTTAACTTTGTTTAATCAGCTTTTGTGAAACTTGGCCATGGTCCTTTTTTCTTATTAATACCTATTAATAAATTGCGCACATGAGAAGAGGGAGGCAAAAGGAAGTGCATTAGAGGATGGTGAAGGGTAGTTTATATTTGCTTCCATTTTGATACGGAGAAGACAAGTTTGTTACCAATTTCTGTTTCTCGCCAGAGCCTCAAGCTCAAATTCAGTGTTTTATGCTTTACAACAAAAACATTTGAGAGGAGTTAGGGATTCTTTATTTGGTTCCAGAACCCCATGACAACTTGTATGTTGGTGAAGTGCTGCAATAATCAGTGAGAAGGTGTAATCATCATAAAAAAGGAACTTTTATGTATGACTAACATATTGGAGTCCTAGTATGTGTCAGGCAATATGCTAATGACATTCAGATGTATTTGCTCATTTAATCCTTACGGCCACCTTTGGAGGTCAGTAGCATTGTTACCCACATTTTGCAGAGAGAGGTGAGGCTGCAAAAGGGACAGGGACTATATATGTAATCTCAGGATACAGTTAGGTCTCTAACCATGAGAGATGATGGTGAAATAGTTTTGGGATCTGAATCGACTTGTGAATGGTCCCGCCCCCCCCTTTCCTGGGCTACAAATAATGCATTACTGTAAAATAGGTAACCAGAAAGAGGAATTAAAAAGGATTGAGCAAGTTCAAAAATGGATTTAACAGTCTTGACTCATCATGTTGCTTTTAGATGAGACTCTCGTGTCATAAAACTTTTAATCTAAGGGGATCAATCTGAGGTGGATTTGGGGGTCCTTTCACCCAGAGGGCGGGTTTCTGGAAGGCAGTGTGCAGTGATGTGAAGTAGTGTTGGCGTGAATGTCCATACCTGGGAGGTCTTGCCTAGGGCTCTCTGCCACTGGCTAGGTCTGGGAGTGGGCTAAGGGCTTCATCTCTTCAAGTTGTTTTCCATCCCATAAAAGGAGGGGCACCTTCTTCATTCCATAGTCCCCTGATTTAGGCCTATATTGTTTCGCTTGATTCGGCTGTTTGGTTAGTGAAATATTTTAATGAATATACTGTATATCATCTTAAAAATCAAGTCCTATTTAAGATATAAAAAAAGCCCTTCTGAAGACCATTCAGTAATCCAGAGGCATTGAGAAATTAGTATCTCAGAGAAAGGATTAAAGTAACCAAAAAAAGGGTAAGATATTTTGGTTTGTGTCACAGAAATTGTGCATCTTTAGTAGAGGAATAGGATGGCTAAAACAAATGAACAAAACCCTAATGGAAGTAACATGAAAATTACACATGACAAGGTATTGATACAGCAGGTGTTTATTTCATCCTGATTACATATATACATACCTACATCTTATATACATTTATAAGAAGACTGTATAACACATCATGCCTAGTAGTGGTAAGTATTATGTGAAACTTGTTAGACATGTGCATGGTGCATACATTTACGTGTACTAGGTCACAGTGTAAAATGTACTAATTGGGTCACGGTCATTGATGGAAGGAGTACACTCAATACAAATAAAGATGTGTACTTGAGCTGTACTTAGGTTGATCAGAATTTTGAAGTTTTACCTTTAGAGTTGTAAAAAACTTCCAAACAACAGTAACAAAGCCATTTGAGAGTTTAGTTTAGCCTGATAGGGTCTTAGGACACAGCAAGTCGCTGTGCCATTTCCGTGTGGCTGGCGCCACCTGGTGGCCTTTGGGTTACAGTGCAGCATACTACCTTTAATAGAAAACTCGTAGATCCAGTTTCTGATGTCCTGACTGAGCTGTACAAATGGCCATAGCTTGAAGTTAATGAGTTTCACTTCTTACCTTCATCTGGCCTTGGCCACACGCCTTTAACCCTAACCAATCACCTGTAAAGTACATGCCATCTCCCGAAGGATTATCATAGAGGAAAACCAGTTAGTGCTTCATCTCTTGAGACAGAGTCCCAAGTACTGTCTTTTTATAAAAGGACAGTACACTCGGAGGTGAAATGGCCTTCGGTGAAGTAGTAGGAAATGCGAACTCCTTGCCTGTGGGAAACCTTCCCTCATCCCTGTATTGTAGCTTCTCATGCTCCCCTTAGGGCCTCCACCATTGGTAGGTATTTTTTGGATTTATTGCACTTTGATGCTCTTTTTATATGCTTTCATTTGGGAGACTCTGGGCTCCTTGAGGGAAGGGATTGTTTCATGTCTTTTTATCCACATTGCCAGCAAAGTACCTTGCACACATGTAGGTAATATTTCCTGTTTGAACAAGTGCATGGCTTAGGGTGAATTTGGGTTTGGACTTGTCTTTTGATTTTGTTAATGAAGAATTTTTTTGTTCATATTTGAGAGAGAGTGTGTGTGAGCACGAGTAGGGGGAGGGGCACAGAGAGAGGGAGAGAGAGAATCCTAAGCAGGCTCTGTGCTGTTAGTGTTGAGCCTGTTGTGGGGCTGGATTTCCCCAGCTGTGAGATCATGACCTGAACTGAAATCAAGAGTTGGATGCTTAACCAACTTGAACCACCCAGGCGCCCCTTGATTTTTTTTTAATTTAAAAAATTGTAAGCTTAAGTTTCAGGAAGGTGGATCTTTAGAAATATTTTTTTAGGGGCACCTGGGTGGCTCAGTCGGTTAAGCGTCCGACTTTGGCTCAGGTGTTGATCTCATGGTTTGTGAGTTTGAGCCCCACATGGAACCTACTTCGGATTTTGTATCTCCCTCTCTCTCTCTGCCCTTCCCTGCTCACACTCTCTCAAAAGTACATTAACATTAAAATAATATATATGTTTAGGATTTTACGTAAGTGTATATAACATTATGCCAAAATTGCGTTACCTAATAATGGAACTGGTAACAGTTGCTTTGCTATTGAAGACTAAATACATAGTAGTTATGATAAACATTTTCTTCCTTCTAAAAGCTAGGTACAAATTATAGAAGTGTGTATGTATGTGTGTATCTATAGATTTATGTATGTATGTGTGTATGTATATTTGTATATCTCCTTTCACATGGAGACCTTTGTAGATCTATTTACCTGAAATACACATTTCATCACATTCATATAGTAGCAACTCTCTTCAAAGACCTTTCATTAACTTAGTGTTGTCAGAAAGTTCTTGTAAGAAATACAAGGATGCATTCATGATACCAGATGGGGGGGGGTGGGGTACAAAAATCTCATTAAATAATAAAACAGTGGTTAATGTATTTGAGAATAAAATATACAACCTGGAAGTCTACTGACAGATGGAAAATTTAGGATGTAGCATTAGATATGTCCTTGGACAGAGAAGAAATGATGGGAGTGGGGAATGATTGCATGAGATTCTGGGGACTAAGACTCCTGAAAGAGCAGTCTGCCACAATCATTGTAAAGTTCCGAACACTGCTAAGGCTTAGCTGGGGAATATTCGACACAAGATTACATATTTGAGGCAGAAGTGGGGAATTATAGATGTCATCTATGTATTAG